AATTATTATACAAATTTAAATATAAGCAATTAATTTGTAAGAAAACCAAATGGTCTGGCATTATGCTAGACTCTTCTCTTGATCTACATCTAATCTGATAACAAATTGTATCAGCTCTACTTTTTTTTAGTTGGAGTCTCATTCGGTCGTCCAGACTGGAGTGCAGTGGCTGCTCCCAGCCACCACAGCCTCGCCTGCTGGGCTCTGGCAATCCTTCCGCCTCAGCCTTCCAAGTAGCCGGAATTACAGGCATGTGCTACCACGCCCGGCTGATTTTTTGATTTATTGTAGAGATGAGGTCTCACTGCCCAGGCGGGTCTTGAACCCACGGACTCAGGCAATCCACTCACCTCAGCCTCCCAAAGGCGTGGGATTACAGGCTGAACCACCGAGCCCGGCTAGCTCTACTTTTAAAACACCTTTATATCCAGAATACAATCTCCTTTTGCTTACCCTCCCTCATTCCTTCGTGCATACTTCAAGTCACCATCTTTGTGCATCCAGAATGCCACTACTGCTTGATCTAAGATTCTATGTTTCTCTTGGGCTATAAACAAGAGCATACTTAGGGACTTTTTATTTCTACTTTTGTTTTCCAGACAAAAAATAATTTCCACTCAGTAGCCACTGTAATCTTTTTTTTTCTTTTTTTTTTTTTTTTGAGTTGGAGTCTCACTCTGTCACCCAGGCTGGAGTGCAGTGGCACGCTCACGGCCACCACAGCCTCCACCTACTGGGCTCAGGTGATCCTTCTGTTTCAGCCTTCCAAGTAGCTGCAACCACAGGCGAGTGCCACCACGCCTGGCTAATTTTTTGATTTATTATAGAGACAAGGTCTCGCCATGTTGCTCAGGCTGGTCTCAAACCCCTGAGCTCAGGCAATCCTCTCACCTCCACCTCCCAAAGTGCTGGGATTATAGGCTTGAACCACTGCACCCAGTCGGTGTAATTTTTTTAAAACTACAGTTCAAATCATTTAATTTTTCCTCTCAAAATGCAATATTTGAATTACTATATCTCATAGGCCAAAGCTGATGGTCTAGCTCCGTATTGTCCACTTATCACATTGCTTGCATTATTCCCATTTGCCCAACTTCTCCCTGCTGCACCAGCCTCCTTGTTTCTTGAATGTCAGGCAAGCTCCACCTACAAGATAATGTGGTGGTCATTCCCTCTGTCTGAAAAAGTATTGCTCTCCCCATCCTGTACCTCTGCAGGTCTTTCTTTCTAACCTCCTTTACATATTTATTTAAATTATCAGCTTTTCAATGAAACCTTTTCTGGTCAAATTACTTAAAATTATAATCCTGCTCTTAATGCCTCCTCACTCTCTCCAAGAGCACAGGAATTTTGTGTGTGTGTGTGTGTGTGTGTGTGTGTGTGTGTGTGTGTCTCTCCTATTTTTAAACTATAGCCTTAATTCCTAAAGCACATAGCAGAAACAAAATAATGAATAATTGTAATAGTAACAACCAATTTACATAATGTTTATTATTCTAGATACTTCTAAGCAGATTATATGAACATGTTTATTCTCTCAAAACCAATGATGAGGAAGAGGACTTTGTGTTATGATATAAAGAGCTCAAGTTCTTTCTCAACATTAAAAATTAGGTATAAAATGCAACAACATTAACAAAAACAACTACTCCATACCAATTGAAATCAACCAAAGAACACAATAATTTGAGAAGAATTTATTCTTTTAAAAATGCTGGACATTCAGATAAAAACAGCAGGAACCTGTGAGTTTCTTGCCTGGAGCTACTCTTACCCTTCCACCTTCTTCTCCTACCCCAGGCTGGATATGGAAGAAGAAAAACCCACTTTTCTGCCAGAGGTGGTAGACTCCATTTGGGATGGGAGGACAGAGCAAGCAACCCTCGTTTCTCCAACATAAAGTGATGGATCCAGTTTAGACTAAATGAAGAAACCCCCAACTTTGCTATCCTGAGGTTGTGGTCCATGTGGGTCAAGGAATGGACCAGCAGGTTTTAAAAGAAATTAGAGAAAATTTATAGAAATTAGAGAGTCATGGAAGGACTGAGATAGCTCTTCATATATCCCTAGCTAACTGTGGAATTGTGCAAGTGGAAGATCTTTGAGAGCTCAATAAAAAGTGAAAAGCAGGAAATATTTGAGAACTGGCTACAAGTTTTAATGCATTCCTCAAACCACACAAAATTCAAAAGGCAGAACCTGAAAGCCTGTGTCCTTTGATGTTTGAACACAGTATCAGTATTGACCAATCATAAATGACAGATACATAGGTGCAATTTCAAAGGGAGGAAAACAATAAAAAAAAGAATAAAAACTTCACAAAGCAAGAAAGACATTCTGCAGTTTAGATTCAGACAAGGAAGTATACATATTGGTTTATTCTAGGAAAAATAACAGTAAGTAGAAAATGATTCTGAGTGGAACAAAATGTTAGTCAGAACAGACAAATACTTCAAAGACAAATTTTACAAAAATGTTTAAAAATTTTAAAAAGCTATTTCAAATAATTAAAGAAAAATATGCTAGCAATGAGTGAACAAATACAGACTATCAACAGAGAAATAGAAATTATTAAAAAAACCCAATAGAAAATTAAATTGAAAAGAAAAATAGCTCAGATGAAAAATTAACTCAGTGGATTCAACAGTAATTTTGAATTGACAAAGAAAAAATCTGTAAATGTGAAAATAAGTCATTAGAAAATAGGCATCCAAAACATAAAATTAATAAAGAAAAATTAAAGTAATTGAATAGAGATCCAGAATATGTGGAAAAATTTCCAGAATTCTAAGTGAAGTATTACAGAGGTATTATAGGATGCTCAGAAGGAGAGAGAATGAGGCAGGAAAAAAGTGAACAAAATGACAGAAAACTTCCTAAATTTGATGCAAAACATTAATTTATGGATTTAAGAAGCTCAATAAACACCAAAAATAATAAATACAAAGAAAATCAGACCTAGACACATAATCCTAAAATTGTTAAAAATCAAAGTAAAAACCGGGCTCAGTGGCTCAGCCTGTAATCCTGTGCCTTTGGGAGGCTGAGGTGAGTGGATTGCCTAGGCCCGCGGGTTCGAGACCCGTCTGGGCAGCAAGACCTCATCTCTACAATAAATCAAAAAATCAGCCGGGCGTGGTAGTGCACGCCTGTAGTTCCAGCTACTCGGAAGGCTGAGATGGAAGGATCGCCGGAGCCCAGCAGGTCGAGTCTGCGGTGGCCGGGAGCGGCCACTGCACTCCAGTCTGGGCCACAGAGTGAGACTCCAACTCAAAAAAAAATCAAAGTAAAGGAAACATCTGGAAAGTAATAAGAAAAAATAGACTTAGTACATACAAGGAAGCAACAATACAATTTTAGTCTGACTCCTTGCAAGAAACTATGGAAGTTAGAAGGCAGTAGAATGACAGATTAAAAGTGCTAAAAGAGGTATCTGCGTGGTGAATATTTGTATACCTAGCCCTGAATTGTACCCAGCAATTTTAAAATGAAAATTAGAAGGGGGAAAAAAAGTGCCAAAAGAAAAAAAAATCTAACTCAAGAATTCTAAATTAAGAAAAACTGTCCAAGAATAAAAGTAAAATAAAGACATTTCCAGATTTTAAAAAATCTAAGAGAACGATTTGTCAGCTGACATTTGTTACAAGAAAATACTAAACAAAATATTCTAGTATGAAGGCAAATGTTACAAGATAGTCATTCAGACCCACAAGAAAAATTACAGAACATCAGAATTGTAAATATGCAGGAACATTTAAAAGATTGAGTATGTGAATGTGTGTGTCTGGCACTTGTCACAGTTCTGCAGGAATTCATGTTTTGTTTCTGACAGTGGTCTATTCTTGTGGTCCATCTGACAATTGCTGTATCTCGGGCACATGAACTTAATTACCACAGTGTAAAAATGAATTTTGACTTCTAATATGGAAAGCACCCCTATCTTAATCTTCTTCTGGGTGTCTTGGCTATTCTTAGTCCTTTGCAATACCATATAAATTTTAGGACCAATTTGTCAACTTTTATGAAAAAACATATTGGAATTTTTGTTGTGGAGACACATTATATCTATGATTTACTTTTGGGATAATTGAAAAATTTTCAATATGAGTCTTTCCAACCATAAATAAGTGATATAATAAATGGAGTTTAACATTTCATTTATTTTTAATCTTATATATTTTAATAAAACTAAGTTTATTCCTGGGTACATTAAAGCTGTTAAGAGCCTAAGGAACAAAATTCTTGGCCAAAAAAATAGTTTCAAAGACCCTGGAGTATTTAAGAAATGTCCAGAAGGCCATTATGCAAGGAGTATAGTGCCAGGAGGAGACAGCACTAATGCAGTGGGTGTGAGAGGAGACAGGGGCAAGATCTGGAAAATGAAAACTCATTCCTGCATGAAAGGTAATACTTGTTCTAACACTGAGTTGTCTTCCTCCTAAACCAAGTGGACTAATTAATTTGAACCGGAAAATATGTCAGCATTAGCTATAGCTAGCTGCCCATTTGACTCTTTGGTGGTTAATGATAAATAGGCTCTTCAATGCATGAGTGAAATGCTAAGTCAAAGAAGTTAACTCAGTAAAATAGAAAACACACAAGTACACGCTCACAAATCTCTGACAGTACATATTATTCATGCAAATAAAAAGCACTTGCAAAGTAAAATACAACCTGGAAAGGACCTCTACGAAAGCAAGGAAGTTAATTGTACCACACATTCTGCTACCATTCTATCATCTCACTTTTTAACATCCAGTTTGCTTCTACCCACTGACACAAACATCTGCAGCCCAAGTGGCATAAAAACAGAGCAGAATTCCTTTTTATCTAACAAATAAGCCAACTGTCTCATGAATAACCAAAGGGAAGCCAAACTTCAAATATCACCAAGAGCTTACAAATTTTATAAAATAAGAAATCTAGAGAGAAAACTTCAAAGTGTGAGAGAAAGAGTGCAGACAGAGAGGGGGGTGGTGAGCCCTCGTAAACAACTATACCTTGTGCGGCTAATTCTTTCCACCTCTCTTTGTTCTGCTGAATGATGTCCACCAGGTTGTTTTTGAAACTCTTCAGGTCCACTGCTGAAAGGGAGTAGTCTGGAGAATAGGAGCCGTCGCTCAGGGAGCCTTTTACATTGCACCGTCTTAGCGCCTCAGCAACATTTAACCCCACAATGGTGGATGAGCCGCTAACAGTAACAACCAAAGAAAAATATCAACATCAGGACATGGGCTGAGGGAGGTAAACCTGAAAAAAACCACAAAACTATCTACAGAAACAGGATGGCAGACTCAGTTTTCTGACTCAGTTTTCATCACCTGAGGGCTGCTCACCTTTCTCTCCCTCCCTACACGGAGAGGGCCAGGGACTCTCAGTAGTTGACTATCTTTTGTATTGACTTCACTTCTCAATTTCAAAGGCAGATGCAATATACTACAAAACCACTAGGTGGCAATACTGCCTAATAATTCTTGTCAGAATTTCATGTGTGAAATCAGAGTAATTACTAAGGAAAAGGTTATTAAACATTACAAAGACGAAAAATGATGCAAAAAGAAAATATCATACCTGCTTGCCACATAGGAAGAAGTATCGGTTTTTGAGGCTTCCTCTATAAGAGGAATAACAATTTTCTCTGTTGAGTCTGTCAGAAGAGAAAATGTTGGCTCTACTATGAAATCAATGAAACCTACAAAACCAAAGAAAAAAAAAAGAAATTCCAATATTACAATTTCCTGAATTCTGAAATCAGTAATAATGAAGAGTCTCTGACACTCCTGGGATAGCAAGTATCAACTGCAGCATTGTTTCTGCTTACGCTTTGATATTCTTTGATATAATAACACAAGCTTTAGAGATACTTTACCTGCTTTATAAAATAATTTCTGAAATAGTGGAAGCGATATAATTTAAGCTTGAGAACTCAAGTATGAAGAACTCAATAAGTATGCTGGCTTTACTATTTAATCTTCAGCCTTATATATTATTGCTAACAGTAAATTCAGATAGAATGAGTGACTCTGTTTTCCTTTCTCAGGCAGAGGGATCGTTGCCCTTTCTGAAATGTCTTCATGTGCTTTTTAGATCTCATCATTGACCAACAAGCAATAATGTCTATGCTCCAAAGAAACAAAATAATTGAAGTTTTTTTCCTCAGGCTACAGGAAGACAACCACTGCTTTTTTTCTAACTGTATTAGTCAGAGCTTTCTGCCAGTGTGTTAATATTTCACATCGTTGTTTATTATTCTCCTGATGTAAGTGTTAGTTTGCAGAGTGTGGGCGTGTTCTGTCAAATCAACGAAGAGAACAGTAACATCTCTGGGAGACATCATTAATCCCACCACTTTGAGATGTCAGAATTGAATGAAGTCTTTTACATTTAAAGCATTCATCAAGATAGAAATGACACACAAAGAGAACAGGGCATCATCCTCTGGGCGCACTCACCACCCAGAATTTAGGCGGGGGTGGAGACAAGTCTATTCTAAGCTGTGTATACCAGGCCACACTCCAGGTCCCGGGAGAGGTATGATGCTTTAAGTCAAGAGCTTGTTGCCTTAAACACACCTGGGACCCACGAACATCACTTGAATGAGAGTGGGAGTGTCCTGGGTTATAGCCACATTTGAAGCTTATCCACCAGATGCTAGATAAAAGAAATTCACATTTTGAGTAACTGGATTACTTACAATATATAATAAGGTGGGTTTTTTTTTTGTTACTGTTTGTTTGCTTTTTGTTTTTGAGTCAGGATCTCACTGTGTTGCCCAGTCTGAAGTGCAGTGGCACAATCACAGCTCACTGCAGCCTCAACCTGTTGGGTTTAGGTGATCCTTCCACCTTAGCCTCCCAAATAGCTGGGACTATAGGCATGCACCACTGTGCCTGGCTAATTTGTCTTGATTATTATTTTTTGGTAGAGATGAGGTCTCACTATGTTACCCAAACTGGTCTCGAACTTCTGGGCTCAAGCAATTCTCCTGGTAAGGCACATTTTTAATTCATAAAAAGAGAAAACTTCAAGAGTGTTCTTAATCTATGTCTTCAAACCAAAGCACTATTAATTGGCCACCCAGGGAGCTATTCTAACCTCTGTCTTTGGTTTTAAATGCCTGAGATAGATAGACTGTCAACAGAGGCATCACCTCTACTGACTTGGAAATAGCTTGTATTACAGCAACAAGCCTCAGAAACTTCCATCCGTCTCAGCTTGCCACATCAAATCCTGAGCCTACCACATTCGCACTTACTAAGCAACGATAGGCACCTGCATTATGGCCTCTATAGAAACAACTGTTGGGACTTGGATGGAAGGGGAAAGGTCAAAGCAAGCCGTTTTCTGACAGCTACTGCCTGGCAGCTTTGTGGTAGGTGGTACTGGAGCACACCTTCAGAGGTAGGACAGTGAGCCTTATGGTTATTGATCATGTAGTCACATAATGAAGTCTCTGGCTCAGGGAATGACTATTACAAGTATCTGACTATACAGAATAACAATATGCCTTAATAATGGACTGAACTTCAGGTCCCTGACACAAATACAGGTAAGAATGGATGTGGTCAGGAGCAATATTATTTTGCAAATTTCCTGTTGTTGTCTTATCTATTCATATCACAAGAATTTTCTCCAAATGAACATAAGCTAGTATATTAAGCATGCTACAGAAACGTAGTGATACCAGAACAGGTGTGCTAATATTTTCATTGGACCATCCTGTATCTAAAAGATCAAACTATAGAAAACAATAATCAGCAACAAAACAACAAAAAATAGTCCCCTCCACAAGAAGAGAGTCCTCTATTTTATAAAAGGATTACAATCAGAATAACAATTACATTTAATAATGCTGCTTTACTGAATTCATTTTGTGAAATTTATTTTGTGAAAATGTTTTAATAATTCTTATCATTCAGCACCATAGAGATCGGTCTAAAATCAAACTGATCATGAATAGGGAGTGAGTTTTTCATTGACGTCACCCCTTTAAACAGCATGGTGTAAGCATCAGGAACCTGACAAGCATACACCCACTTTCCGTCTTCAACATTACCTATTTGTGACTGGGCCACCATGGTTGACTTCCGATCACAAAGTGGAGAAAATGGAAGTCCTAACTCAGCTTCTTTATCTCCCTGGGGAAAGAAAAGCATGTTAGTACAGACTTGGGTTGGAGAAACTAAGACAATGACCAACCTAGATAAAAGCCACATCTTTCAGTTCTTAATTAGCACTTCTTTCTTTCGTTCTTTTTCTTTCTTTCTCTCTCTCTCTCTTCTTTCCTTCCTTCCTTTCTTTTTTGTTATAAAACCAAAAGTTATAGTCCAAGTTTGTATAATTTTTCTTGGATGACCTCCTTTTGAGGAGCTTTTGCAGGCAGAAGGATCATGATCGTCAGTAATCAGAGACTTTTATTATTACAACCCCTAGATTGTAAAGAGATAAACCTTTGTTCTGTGAATTTTTTTAAGTGACCATAAAATACACAGTCATCTCAGTGTGTTATTTGGAATTTAATTAACAATCCAGAGCATGGACTTTTTTTTTTTTCTCTCACACTCTGTCTCTTTCTCTCTATATACCAAGTACATCAACTGACCTTCAGTATTAAAATTTTCTGATTGGACTACTTTTTAAAATTAAAAGTATATGAGCTTTTTGAAACATCTTTCTATTCATTAACCCAGTTATATTAAATCTCCACAAGAAGTAATGATGTTCTTCGATTCAACATGCATAATTTTATTTTACTGTATTCTTTAGAAAATTGAAATGTGAATTGTTTTTTATTATTTGATCATATGTAAAGTAGATTAATTGAGCCCATATGTTAAAGAATTCCATTGATGTTTGGGTTTTACATCATGGGAAATAATTAGGTTTTCATCTTCTAAAATAAAGGTGGCTGTTCTGGGCAACATTTATTGTCACAAAATTTATCAAATATTGTTTCTTTTTAATTTAAGGGGACATGCGTATGAAAGAAAGAGGAAAGAGGATACTTCCTTGATCTTGTTTATTTCAATTGTCTGACCATTTGAAAGAATGCTTTGGGTTCTGTTTTCTCCTGTCTACCTTCATGAGGAACACTAGTTTTGCATAAGGCCACAACTCCAGGTGCAATACCTGTCTAAGGACTTCATAGTTTCCTTTTACTCTGCTGCCTCTGACATCTTTTTATCCTGATCATTGCAACATTATGTCAACATACAGCTTTAAAGTTATTTGAGAATGTTTTCTGGTGCAGTTCCCCATAAGCCAGGCTTCTGATTATGAGGGAGATGTGCAGAAAGTTTGAAATCAGAATTGTTGGGGATAATCTAGATATGATCATCAAAGAATTAGTCAAAGGAGCTGCAAGCAGGAAAATGTTACTACGTCATGACTTAGAAAAAACAGGACTAAGAATTTCTGTGACTTCTGCCAGCAACTCCCTTGATTCCTTCAGGGATAATAACATCAATTCCATTTAGAATTATGATTTATACTCAGCTAATGAGACAGATGGAAGGGAATGATTGCTGCCTTTAGACCTGGAATCAGGAGACAGAGTCAGCTGAATCAGTGCTGTTCAAGGGGCTATTGTTGTTACTTCAGACGTATTACAACCTTTGCTGAAACAAACTCTCCTCATCTATTACCTAACATTGTGATCTTGGTTTACTCATTTTAGGAATAAGATATAATAGTATCTATCTAATAAGATTATCCTGAGCTTATCCTAGATAATTTATATGAAGGTTAAAGACAGCACCTAACATTCAGTGTCATTTATTTAGCTAATCAAAAGCATAACTCATAATAGCAACAATACAAAGCTGTGTAAATTAAAGATATTTATGATGTTTAATGCATATCTTGGATGATTTTAAAACACAATAAAAATAATTAGTATTTAATTGAGCACTTAATTAAGAGGCATTGACTTTTGCTCTTTTTTCTAGCAAGGAATTGATAAGACAGGGATTCCACTTTGAAAGATTAGTTAGTCAGCAGTATGAAAGATGAGTGAGACCGGCTGACTCCTGAGCTTACTGCTTAAATGAAATGAAGGCTGCTGGGGCCACTGATGGAAATAAAATGATCTGGGTGAGGGATAGATTTGGTTTTTAGCATATTGAGAATAAGAGGTAAGAATAATATTAATCGCTTTTAACATCTATAAATAATATCATTATTGTTAAAATATAAAACTACTGATAGACTTCATGGGAAATATGATATTGCATATACTTATTTGAAATATGCAGATACAGCTGCATTTTATTTGTTTTATATGGTTTTATCTATTCACTGCAGCTAAACTGCATTAAACTTGTTTTATTGGTCAAGGTACTGCTACCTGATATTTTAAGGATACAAACATAATAGGTTTATTGTTAAACTTTGTTCTTTGACCCTGAAAATGATCATTGAGACCTGAAAAAGATATTATGGTGATTTACTTTTCATTAAATTTCATAGAGTGTTGGATGGTAGCATTTTCATATAGGATGTAGGCTTTTGACAGATATAGGCAGGGTCAACCCTCCTATACACGGAGTAAGAGATTTCATATTCTATTTGCTTTCTGTATGCCACAACTTAGAATATTAAATTTAGAATATTAAATTTAGAATATTAAATTAGAATATTAAATTCCTAATGCTAAAGATCATTGAATACTAAAGTACATTCATTATTTAATTTATTTATAAATATTTCGAGTATTGTTTACTCTTTAGGTTGAATAAATAAAAAATTAGCTGGGCGTGGTAGTGCGCGCCTATAATTCCGGCCACTCGGAAGGCTGAGGCGGAAGGATCGCCGGAGCCCAGCAGGTCGAGGCTGCAGTGGCCATAAGCGGCCACTGCACTCCAGTCTGGGCAACAGAGTGAGACTCCAACTCAAAAAAAGAAAAAAAAGAATGCCACATATTCCCTGTATTTCTCACCTTACTGCTCAACCAACAAACTTGTTTATGGATCAGAACATGATCACAGGCCAGCACTGGAAACTGCTGATTTAGAGGATAAAATTTTAAAGATCTTACATTACTCTGTTAAATTTATACTCCCTGGATCAAGTGTTTCCTTAAACTTTTAATCTAAGGAAACCCAAATATCTGGGTTAGCAAACAAGGTTTCCTGTGGTCTTTTAAAAAAAAAATACATCTTAAATGTGCCATTATTTCTGCCACATGCCTGACAGCCTGTTCTGAAAGACTAACCCTTCTTCCTCCATTCTCTAAGGTGGATGGGTTCCTTGGTTTGGATTTGGATATACTTGCTCTCATTCTTAAACAGCTGATCCCATTGACTACTTATTACATATGAGCAAACTAGGTATCATAGGGTGTTTTTATTTATTTGTTTATTTTTGCTTTGTTGCCCAGGCTGGACTGCAGTGACATGCTCACAGCCACCACAGCCTCCACCTGCTAGGTTCAGGAGATCCTTCTGCCTCAGCCTTCCAAGTAGTTGGAACTACAGACGCATGCCACCACGTCTGGCTAGTTTTTGTAATTTATTGTACAGACAAGGTCTCATGCAGTTACCCAGGCTGGTCTCGAACCCCCAGGCTCAAGCAATCCTCTCACCTCAGCCTGCCAAAGTGCTGGGATTACAGGCTGGCCCATCGGGTGTTTTTAAAATTTGAAAAAAATTAAGGAATGTTTCAAGGGAAATTGAGTAATTTTGTTGCCTTTTTCTTCTTTGCTTTCATTGACTATGGTATTGGATGGTGATGATGATAGTGATATGGCTTTAGAGTTATTCATCAAAGTATCAAAAATTGTTTTCTATTGTAGCCTGAAGTCTTGCACATGATCTACATGAGAGCCTTACAAATAGTATATGGAGTTCGACTGGAGCATTTTTACATGGTGGGTTTAAGATGCAGCAAAATTATGCTTTTTTATTGCAGTTCTCCAGCTGACAGTGCATACTGGCTTTTAGGATAGGAAGTTCTTGACTTTATTTTAAACAAATTCAAATACTTATATAAATTTAATGTTACTTACAAAGGAATTTTAGGTGTAGTAATGGTTTATATTGACAATTTTAGTAAGATGAAACCATAGTAAAAGACTTAAATGACACAAATTATTGATGCTATGCTATTGTTCACAGATTTGTAAGTTGGTCTTCAGAGAGTATAATAAACAACAGCAAAGTCTTCATATTGTTCTCTTCTCAGGAAGAACCCCAACAATTGAAATGAGGCAACTGAACTTTTAGCAAATTGGGTCTTTCTAGTAGGAAAGATCATTTTTCTTAAACTTTTTTTATTGTTGTGACATCATTGGGATATCATCTGAAGATGCCCTAACATTGTAATGTCTTTGGAATCTCACCAATGTGACTTTATATTTGAATTTTTTTTTTAAATCAGACTTGCCACTTATTTGCTACAAAACCTTGTTAGGCTTAGTTACTTTGTCTATAAAATAGGGATAACACTTTGTGATCGGACTGTTGTAAAAATTAAAAGAATATATATGTAAAATACCTAGCATAATACCTGATATTTTGTAAATGCTAACCTTCTTCATTTTTTTTAATTTAAAAAACCTTTATTAAACCCTCATTGTGAACCTAGCATTACTAATATTAATGGCAATACTAGCTGTGTACTAGGATCTGTATTTAAGTTTTTTAATTTAATGACGTTAGTATATTTTTATCTTAATTTATGACAAAGGTTTCTTACACTTGAAGGTTTTTCTCATTTTTTTCTAATCAATGTGTAACTTAGATTTTGTGATTTATTACATTTAGATGCCAGTGAAATCTGAAGTTATGTATCCACATTTAATGGAAGGCTTCTTACCATTCAGCAATTTATGTACTCATCTGTAAGTAGAGTGGCCTTTACTGTCTTAGTCTACATTCATATTTACATCATATTAAGCTTTCTTATTGACATGATTTTCTTTGAGAAGGAATTTCTACCATCTTCTTCCTCATTCCATCCCATGTGCATTCAGAATTTCAGAATTTGTAGACTAACACCAAACAGAACTAACTGCTTCCACTGTGCACTTTCTCATCATGTTTTCAGTTCAATTTTA